GGCGGGGCCGGGCGTTTCCTCCTCCCGCCCCGCCCCGCCCCGCCCCGGCAGGTGCCGGCACCTCCCTCGCGGCTTAAAGCTCTACAGCGCCGAGCACCGGGCCGGGAGTGAGGGGCACCGGGGGGCAGGCCGGGAGTGAGGGGCAAGGGCAGGAGAGAACCCAGACGTCCGGGCTCCACCCCGCTCTAACCACTGACTCCCGCTGCCGCGTTTTCTGCTTGCGGGGCTCTGCAAGGCGCGCGTCGCCGCCAGGGAGCGCGCCTTCGCCCTCAGTGCACATGCGCGGAAGGCTGCCTGGGGAAGGGATGAGGATTTCCAGGTGCCGCGGTAAAGCGCCAGCCTCTTTTTTGCGACATCTGCTGCTGCCGCGCTTGGCGACCGCCGTTGGTGACGTGTCCGCGGCGGAGCGGAGCTGAGGGAAGGGGGCGGGACGGGGCGGGACCTAGCAAAGTTATTCGGCCACGGAACGCCCTGCTGGTACCGGGTTCGGTTCCCCGCCTGGGACCCTCGGACGCCTGGGGTCCGTGGAGTCACGTGACCGAGGTTGGGTCGGGCTTCCTTTCCTCCCTTGGCGCTGCCTGGGGAGCCCCGGCGCTGAAAAGGTTAATCCTGAGGGGTTCCAGGGCGGGGGTGTGGGGGGCAGAGGCTGCGGGTCGAGAGTGAGGGGCAGCACCCCCGCCCCGCAGCTGCCTCCAGGCAGGAGCCGGCCCCCCGCCGGAGGCCGCGTGCCGGGCCCCGGCCAGGCCCGGGGGCCGGGGAGCCAGCGGGATCCCCCCAGGACGGGCCGAGCCGCACCCGGCGCCTACTGGGCTTCGACTGGTGGGAGCTAAGTAGCTGGACCCGCTTCGTCCGTCTCCTCAACCGGCCCACGGACCCAGCCTCCCTGGCTGCCTTCCGCGTCCTCTTCGGTATGTGGGAAACTGAGGCGGGGCAGGCGGGCAGGGACCCCGGAGTCCAGGGCCAGACTGGGGCAGGTCTCTGTTCCCATCGTGCCCCCCGTAGGCCCAGGCCTGGGCATGTGGGCAGCCCCCCTGTGGGCTGGTTTGCAGCAGGGAAACTGAGGCATGAGGCCTGCTGGAGACCCAGGAGTCTGGGGGCCAGATATGGGGCATCTGCATTCCTCTCCTGCCCCCCCATGCTGTACATGCCTGGATGCAGTGCCAGGCATGCACAGCATCACTCTGTGGGCAGCTCCCTTCAGGGAAACTGAGGCAGAGAACCCAGAAGTCCTGGCCCCTCCCCCTTGGGCCTGGCAGAGGTTGCAGGCTGGGGCAGGGGACTCCCAGGTTCTTCCTAACCCCCATGGTGCTGTCCAGTTGCAGGGGAGGAGCTCTGTTGCAACACTTGTCAGCAGGGGAGGAACGACCTTTGACCTGGCCTTGGGTGAGAGGAGCGCTGGCGCCCACCCAGTTGCCCCTCCTTCTCCCAACTCCCCCCACATCTTGTGCCATCTCCAGCACTGACCCCCCCCCCACTCCAGCTGCCTCAGTTTCCCCATGTTTAGCCCTGCCCCTAGCACACCTAGGCCCCAGCTCCACTTTGCCTCAGTTTCCCCATCTCCAGCCCCACTTCTGCCCTGCCTCAGTTTCCTCACCCTCATCCCTGTCCCCCAGCTGGGGATGGAGCCATGGTGGGGGGCAGCCAGGAGCTCTCCCATTCCCTTGACCCCTGTGCCCCCTCCTCCCACCAGGGCTGTTGATGGCACTGGACATCCCCCAAGAGCGGGGGCTGGGCTACCTGGACCACAAGTACCTGGATGGGCTGGAGGTCTGCCGCTTCCCTCTCTTCGACAGCCTGGCTCCCCTGCCCCTTGACTGGATGTACCTGCTCTACTTGCTCATGCTGCTGGGTGAGGGGGCAGGGCTCAGGCAGGGGGCAGGGCTGGGACCAAGAGCCCCCAGGGGCAGGAAACACCGCCCACCTCTAAAACCTGGGCCCTGGGGGAGGGAGGCAGCCAGGATGCCCAAGTTCTGTCCCTGCCCCAGGTTTTCCTCCTGCCAGCCCTGCTGCACGAGGGGTTGTGGCAGCCAGGACTTCTCTCCCCTGGCACTGCAGAGCCAGGATGCCTGGGTTCTCTGTAGCCCCCCTCAGTTTCCCCCTAGCAAACCCTTGGGGCAGTGGGGGGCAAGGGGAGCCAGGATGCCTGGGTCCCATCACAGGCACCGTAGAGGCAGGAAGCCTGGGTTCCTTACTTGACATGGGAGGGAAGCGGTGTCTAGCGGGACCTGAGAGCCTGGACACCTGGGCTCCCCACCCCACCCACTGAGCCGAGGTGCTGTGCTGGTGCTGGGGTCCTGGCACCATATGCC